GAGGAAACGAAGGTAGAACTTGCTGATACAGTGAGGAGGAGTCCGTTCAGCGTCGAAGACGTTGAAACGAAGATTACCAAAAATAATGACAAAAAGATCAGTAAACCCGCACAAGCAGTGACAGCTGTGATTGAGGAAACGAAGGTAGAATTTGCTGATACAGTGACTCGGAGTCCGTTCAGTGTCGAAGACATTGAAACGAAGATTACTAAAAATAATGACAAAAAGATCAGTAAACCCGCTGTGATTGAGGAAACGAAGGTAGAGCTTGCTGATACAGAGACTTGGAGTCCGTTCAGCGTCAAAGACGTTGAAACGAAGATTACTAAGAATAATGACAAAGAGATCAGTAAAACCGCACAAGCAGTGACAGCTGTGATTGAGGAAACGAAGGTAGAACTTGCTGATACAGTGAGGAGGAGTCCGTTCAGCGTCGAAGACGTTGAAACGAAGATTACCAAAAATAATGACAAAAAGATCAGTAAACCCGCACAAGCAGTGACAGCTGTGATTGAGGAAACGAAGGTAGAACTTGCTGATACGGGGAGGAGTCCGTTCAGCGTCGAAGACGTTGAAACGAAGATTACCAAAAATAATGACAAAAATATCAGTAAAACCGCTGTGACTGAGGAAGTGAATGTAGAGCTTGAATTAAAAACTGATACGGCGACTCAGAGTCCGTTCAGCGAGACAATAACTGCATCTCAGGATTTGACTGAAAATGAATTTGTTGACGATTTTACCATTATTGATAGCAAAGAAGAGCTTAGCAATAAGGTTGAAAGTGGGTTTGACGATCAGTTTGAACTACTAATGCAGTCGGTCACGCTTGACAGTCAAGAAAAGATAGATGTCGTTAGACCTGTAGAGACCGTTAGCAGGATCGTTGAAGATCAAGAGCAGGAGGATGTGCTCAAAAGTGAATTTCTTTCTCAGTTGCATGCGGCAATACAAACGAGGCCAGTTGATGTGATTGGTGAAGTTGAAGAACGTGAGGTAAAGGAAGTAAGAAATAATAAACGTGAGGAATTACTCGAGAAAAAGGTTAATGTGATTGACGCAAAAGAGGAAGCAACGATACCAGTCGATGTGATTGGTGAAGTTGAAGAACGTGAGGTAAAGGAAGTAAGAAATAATAAACGTGAGGAATTACTCGAGAAAAAGGTTTATGTGACGGAAACAAAAGTGAAAACAAAAGAGGAAGAAGCGATACGAACGATACCAGTCAATGTGATTGGTGAAATTGAAGAACGTGACTTAAAAGAAGTAAGAAATAATAAACGTGAGGAATTACTCGAGAAAAAGGTTTATGGGACGGAAGCAAAAGTGGAAGCAAAAGGGGAAGCAATGATACCAGTCGATGTGATTGATGAAGTTGAAGAACGTAAGGTAAAGGAAGTAAGAAATAATAAACGTGAGGAATTACTCGAGAAAGATATTTATGTGATGGAAGCAAAAGAGGAAGCAATGATACGAACGAGTACAGTTGACGTGACGTATGAGGCAGAGGATGGAAATGTATCAAAAGTAGCAGAGGTAAAACAAGAGGATGAAGCACACCATAATAAAGAATTACATGAGAATAAGGAAGTGCTGGAAACGAATTCAAGAGAAGATGGGGTGGCTATAATAACCCAGACAGCAAGAGTTGAAGTGGCTGGTGAGAGAGAATATTTTGGAGATAATTCAGTAATAGCAAAGAATCATGATAAAGACAAAGAATACGAAGGACTGGATGGAAAGAGGAAAGTAGAGAAAACGGAAGAGCATTCAACCCATCAAGGGGATTCTATCCTGAAGTGGTCTGACAATTGGAATACAAGAGCAGTCGTGAATATTGAAGCGCAAGAGTTTCAATCGAAAGACAAGACTGTCGATCAAGGAAGGTCTACAGAGGAAATGCACAATTCGGCAGCAATAACAGAGAATTCCAGTAAAACCGAAGAATGTGAGGAACATACCGTCTTGAATCTCGAAGCACATGTGTTTCAATCGAAAGACGAGAACGTCGAAGCGAACGAGAAAATGCATATAGATTATAGCAAAGATGAAGAGATGATGGAAGAAGAAGACGAAAAGGAAGACGAAAAGGAAGACGAAAAGGAAGACGAAGAACAGGAAGAACAAGAAGAAACCCCGATGACAGATCATGATGACGGTAATAATTGCGTATAATTCTATCTATAACGCTTTTAGTGTATTGATAAATCTGTGTCTCTACTGTCTTACTATCTAGATCTGGCCATCCGATTGTTTCAAAGAAGGCCACAGACTTTACTTGATCCAACATCATTTACTCCGGCGTCTATGGCGGCAGACGTTTTTCAATCGATGTTTAACCCTGGATTCAACAACAATGTGATTCGATTCATTAACATTATATTCCTGATACAGTTTGCCGTCTTTGCATTTATGGCTATTATATCCCAGCATCCAACCGTATATTTGTTGATAATGCTGTCATTTATGTTGTTTATTACGTTGCATGTGTAAGTACTTTGAAGTGATCGTCTGCATTATTGTCAATCACTTGGTTAGCTGATGAATTTTGAACGTTCTTATACAGATTCGTTGCAGTAGTAGCAAAAATGCAAGCAGAAGAAGCTACCGTGAAGATGAAAGAGGAATGAAATTGAGGGCTGTAATGATTCTAGGACCATTAATATCGCTGTTAATAATACTAATTTGCGTCACAAATGACATCATACTGAATTAATACGAGAGCTGTCAATGGGCGTGCTTTAACAAAACCATTCTGTTAGAGTTTCAGTTTCATTAGCTGAACCTATACGATTCGGGAACTAAACGAAATTTCACTCTCACTGACAACCTTTTCTCAAAATTAGCACTTATATCAAATTTGTAAATTGCATTGCTGATTGATATTGCATTATAATAAACTTTGAGTATTTATGCTTTCACCGTTATCTGCAATAATTTGAATAACCTAAAAATCCCGCTGTTAAGACTATACGTTTTATTATTATCATCGAATCCCAACGAATAATATAACGAGGAATCCGGTATAACGAGATACTCTACGAAATCATGCCTAAAGCCAAGCAATATTCGTTATCATGAGATGTAAATAATGATAATATCTTTGCTCGATTTACAAACAACCAATAAAATGTAATAGCTATAATTTATTAATACGCTCAGTAAAAAATGAATTTATTCAGATTCGTTTTTGCTTTCTCTTCAATGCACGAAAGGCTTTATAATTTATTGTTGAAGAAAGTTGAACATTTCGTCATCTATTACCATTTCCTTACTTCTGTCTCTGTTATAGAGTATTTGCTGCAACAATTGTCAATGAATGCAAAGTTCTTTTGAGTCGGTTGACAGTATTGCCTTCCTTTAACGTCATTAATCACCATTTGATCCGTTCTGGAATTTCAGCATTCGTAATAGAGTCTTATCTCCTTCGACATAAGTTGAGAAATTTACTATCAACATGCCATTAGGTTGGCCCATCGTATTATATGACCGAACATCTCGGTCTGCGTTTTGTTATGTACAGTGTGTTAATATTAAGAAAAAACGGCGGTTAATAAAAGATGCGTTTTTTTTGTAACACATAAAGAATACCTTTCGTACTGTTGAGCGTAATCTCAAGAACAGGTACCGTAACGGACGTAAACCAAGGTTACACAAACATATTAATATCTCGCGTTATACCGTACGAGCCAAATTAACAAAGGTCTCAGTTTCGACCCATCCCATTCTTTCTGAATTATCTCACGAAAAGAATCTTTGGTGATTGCTTTTTTTTTACTAACAGTTTGTTGACTTGTTTCTCTACACGATTCTTTAAAATTGCCCATAAATTTTCGATTGGGTTAATATCTGGACTATTAGACGGCCAATCCATAATTTTTGGGCATCGCTGCATGAGGAGTTCCATGGTTTCCTTAACTTTATGCTTCGGATCATTATCTTGTTAGAATATCCAATTGTTTCCCATAACAGCATTGCGATAAAGAGGTCCATAACATCTGTGAAAAGAAAAAAGCCAACAGGACCTTTTACTGAGAAGGCTTCCCCACGCGTGAACTGTATAGGGGTGTCTTACCATGGCCTTACTTGGAGGCTGAGTGTCATTTTTGTAAAATAATTTTTGAGTATTTCGAAACATCTGGAACGTAGTTTCATCAGAAAATATGACCTTGTTCCAATTTTGTTTCTTGTATTTTATGGCAAATGCCACTCGATGTTGTTTATGAGTGGCTGTAAGAAGAGGAATGGATTTTGGAACTGTGGCGTGATAATGTAGCTCATTGAGTACTGTCCGACTACTAACATTAAAGTATTCGCGAGTTCAGTGCTCGTAGAGTATTTGTTTGCTGAGACAAGCTGGCCGAGATGCCGACGCCTGCCGGATGGAGCAGAGGGTTTAAAGTATTATTTTTAAGTTTTTTGACATATTTGTATACGAATAGAAGTTAATTTGTGCATAATGTCAGCATCACGCGTGCCAGCCTCCCACAAAGAGTTATTGTTGATTAAGCGAAGGTTGGTCATTGTGAATGTAAAGTTAGTAAACTTGTAACAAAAATCAAACCAAAATGCAGTCGCGTTATCTAACAGGCTTTGTTAACAGCTTTTTTTTAACTGATTGAATATTATGATGCATTTTATTCCCATTACTTTTTCGTGCACTGTAGAAGAGGTTTTGGGCTTAAATGTCTTTTTGTAATAACGTAATGCCCTGAAGCGTATTATATTCATTATCCCTGTCCAGTAATTTAAGTTTTGCGTCATGTGACAGGATAAAATTGAGTATTGGGATTGGTTAGACATGTGCGGGGAAAAAAAAAAAAGACGGTTCGCCACTTCTTACTCAAGAACTGCTTTTTCATAGTTAAGATTCCGATTGAGACAATAAACCTCTCACTTTACAATTTATTCTGTCATGATATTTTGACTTGTCTTTTAACAGTTATTTTTTCAATATTCTCAACAAATGTTATACAATGCATGCTCCTTAGATCCCTAACTATGGTGTATGATGCACCAGCCCATTAGTTAGGCTTGAGTCATTAGCGTGCAAGATAAAACGAGTATTCTTCTGTCGAGTTATTCTATGGAAGTGGATCTCTACTTACTGCCGCACGCATTAGTCAAGAAGAGGAATTTCTGGCAGTCTATTCACGACTTCACAGAACAGTGTGTCCATCTTGTTTGTCGGCGGCTGAATACATACATGCCCGAGAAATGATTTTAGTTGTCCCATGAAAGTTGCGTAAAGCCAGCGAGCAGACATCAAATTCCGCTCATAGGCATTACCATTAAGCTATACAATTTAGACGACGCCTGTACATGTGGGATTTAGCAAGTCTGTCTATTAATATGTATATAGCATTACGATAAATGAATCTTCCTCTATTAGAATTGCGTTGTTGTTTCACTCATAATTCCGGGTTATTATAGTTCTTGATAGATAGTCCTTGATACAACAACTCCTCATGCAGAATCGATGAATCATTTATTGTTCGCAGCGTACGTCTAAGACAGTTATCATTGATTGTATACTACTGCGGCAATAAACATTATTGCCTCGGATGTTCGCTGAATTGTGAAACATGTTGATTTAGTCGCGCGAAATTAAAATAAAGGACAAAAAATTGCTATTTTGGACTGTTTCTATGTCAGGTGATGTGCAGCTACTATGATCCAATCGCTCCAATCACATGTATTAGTATGGGATCACACATAATACATCCATGAAAATTTTTCGATCGCGCGTTTTCGCTTTAGATTTAACGAAATATCTAACGACCTCATAAAATTTCGAGAAAAAGAAAATGCTAAATTCGTTTACCCGTACCGTTCGTGCTCGACAGTCGACGTTTTCCTTACTCCGTTCAGCATTTCCTTCTCCCATTGTCCAGTTTGCCCGTGATTACACCGTCTACTTTGGAAACCTATCCTTCGATGCGTCAGAACACGATCTCAAAACCCTTGTTGGTCGATTTGATGAGAACGTGACGATACGAGTACCAAGGGATCGATTGGGCCGAACGAAAGGGTTTGGCTTTGCGGAGTTTTCGCAGGAAGATCAGGCCAATCAAGTGATAGGCGAATTAAATGGAATGAATTTTATGGGTCGAGAACTGAAAGTTAGCCGGGCTACGGAGAGGTCGAACACGCCGAGGGATGGTGAGTATTTTTAGAGGACATGGTTCTGTGGGCACTGTTGATAGAACGTGTTTGTGTTCAGCGGATTATTGCGATGAAGATAGTTACAATCATTCATTCCCCTCTCGCTTTTTATGTAATTAGGCGGTAGATTCTAAGATGTCCACCTGAACACTTGACATATACGTGTGACTGGAAATTACAAGAGACTGCAAGTGTCGAGTTTTCGCTTCATATGTAAATTGTATAGGATTTATTCGTGCTGAAGTATTGACACTATCCATTTGAATCAATTTCATTTGATATGTAAGGTGAAACTATTAAAAACGTGTTGATGAATGATTGCAAATGATTATCGTATAGTGTGATAAGATTGTCGTCTGTATATAAGTTACGTGGGTTATTAAGCTGTTTTAGCTGACTGTCTATGCTCTCTACTGCCAAAAATATGGTATGTTAATATTAAAGCAACAACAGCAATAAGTAGAAAGTACACATAATCTATAATATATAGTAAAGTAAACGCAATTCTCTAAACATTGGATATTGTACTGGATATGTCATCTACTTCGTCCGGCTCGTCAATAGACTAGTAAGGCGTAAATATGATGCGCATGAGTAATAATCAGTTTACTTGAATGAACATCCCAGAGCCCTGAATGCTACTTACAATAATGTAATCTCTAATAATCCTTGCCTTCTCCTCGTCCCAGTAAGTCCACATGCGTCGATATATAATCGACCAGACATATGGGCAAAAAAACTCGTGAGAATCCGAACCTTCACTGTATTTGAACTTTAAATCAGGAGAATCTTTCAGTCTCCCAGGTGGCCATGTTCTTGTAGCAGTCTGTATTATCTCTGTTACTTCTTCTGTTGATGGAGCACGTAAGTTTGCCTCAGCTATACGTATGTGGAAGTAAGATATAACCTGCATTTATAGTGATTAACGTAATAATATGAGTAATGATGCCCGCGTTCCGAATCGCGTATTCGTAGAATCCCTAATTTCATGCCTACTCACATTATCAATATTATCGATTAATTCGGAAAATCTCTTATACTTTTGGAATCGTAGGAACATATCCTTTTTATGGAGAAGCGAATAAATAAGTTGTGGGTTTTGTGCTAACCGTCGTGTGAGAATCGAATTTATGATCTCAAGGATCAAGCAAACTAAGTCGCTGTATATTATATAGTCAACCGGCTATAAGAGGAGAGAAGAGGTTATTATGTCATATCATGAAAATTTGTAAATATTGTTGATGGAAAAATTACGTACGTTGTCATCATTGTCCGCTTCTTGTGCTCTAGTTCGTAGCTTTTGATATTTTTTGGTTACTATGTCAAATAAGCTAATGAAGTAATGACAATTAGTTATATTTCAAGTAGTCAACGTTTCTTAGTTACAAACTCACTTGACAATTCTCTGGGCTACATAAGGTTGGATATCGGTAACAGTACTTGCTATGTTTGCAAGTATGGCTATGCAGTGAGTATGTATATATACGTCCTATAGAGAAAACTTGGTTAACTTCAGTCACATAATATCATAGGCTTAGACTCGTGACTCACCCGATGAGAAGTAAGGTTGAGTTGAATCATCCGTATTAACACAAGGTAAACCAATCCTCCAAGCGATATTTGCTTCAACAGTCTCTCTGTAAGCCATGACTGATACGGTATTTGCTGTTGACACAAAACCTACGATTAAGGAAAGATATTATGGTTTCATTTGTAATATAAATTGTTCCTTATCATTTCATTATTAAGGATACTACTTTCTGAATGTTTTCATTAAACACATTGTCCTCACTAAAAATAAGCAAAATAGCTAGAAGAATATAGATTTGGGGATAATTGGGTTTTCCCTCGATCGCTTCGTAGAGTAGACGGAGTATTGGTAGCAGCTAATGAATGATTGCAAGAAAAAAGATTATAAGTTTCTGCAAAAATCGGTTCAACATAATACACAGCCCATTGATTAAAGCAATAAAACATACGAATATTTCAGGATCAGAACGGGATAAAACGTATGCTTTGAATTCGTTGTTTTCAATCATTAATAAATAAAACAAGAGACATATCTCTTCTGACGGTAGTTGCCTAACAATTTATAGGAAAGCTCATTAGCAATGCATATTTTCTATAAGTTTTTCAATGCGGCCCACTTACTGGTAAATCACTCGATATAGCAATCGAAATGATATCACACTGCTTTGGTCTTTGGAACCTAGAATAGTCGCACGGTTATTAACATCTCAAGCTTAATTATTCAATGTTTTACCAAAATTCCCATGTTCATTACCTAGTTCGTCCTTCAGTTTTGCTATGGCATTCCTAAACTCATTGCCACCCTTACCACAAAATTCACCCGGTTGTACAGCAAGGAGTAATAAAAGAATAAAACTTCTTTCCGGTACAGGGTGTGGATCTAACGATAATGCGGTGGGTGATTTGGACGAAAACAAGTAAGAGTACGCATTGTATACAACGTCTACATTATAAAAAGAAATTAGTACAAAAACATTTATCATAGACAAGGCATCAGTGTATATGTAATGAATCTTACTTGTCGATACAGGCGGCATTGACTTCTGCTCAATCAAATTGGTCACTAAGCGGTTGGTTAAGTCGTTGATAAGATGACTGGTTGATTTGGTTTTTCACTTTTTTTTTAGTCATGAAACACCGTCCCCCCATGAAAACATAATGTAAGTAGTATCACTGTGTTGAAGTGTATGCAGTAGCAACCCACCTAAACTTGGAGAATAAGATAGCGAGAAAATAGTTGTCGCCACGTGATGCTGATAATTGATGCAACTGGGTTGATACGAGAATCATGAAGGTATTCAGACATTCTTGGTAGTATTCATAAGCCGTTGCACTCGCACTGGTAAAGAGACGCGAATTTATATCAGTTCATCAATATATTAGTATTACTTATATAGGAAAAAAAAATTGACAAAAGCACAAAAAAGTAAATAAATAAAAAGTCGATTCCGTACACTGGATCCAAGCGTAAAATGACGGAAATCAAGGCATCTATTAATTGCTCAGCCATAGAACGCAAATCATGAAGAATTCTTGGATCAATTGAGAACTTGTTGATATCTTGCTCAAACGACGAGTCAAGTCCATCCTCAAAAGACTCAAAGCCGCCAGCATTGTGACGCGCTATTTGTTTATAGAAATTAAAGATTTAATAAAGCAGGCGTGATCCGAATCAAGCTACTAAAAACATTGAATTCAATCTACCTTCGAAATGGCTGTGGATTTCATCACCGGTCAAACTGCAAATAAACTGCTTGACGAATATATGCACCAAGAAGAGTGAATTGTATGCTTCTACGGGAACCTCTCTACGAATAATTCGGTTACCGCGTAAATCGTTTATAAAATATGACTATTAATCCAACAAAATGCGAAAGTTTTACCCCGTGAAATCCTGATTCAATAAACGATATATCTGATTCAACATGTGTTGAAGAAGCGCGTTAAAGTTCTTCGTCTTCCTGTTGTTGGATACTACGAATAGCATATTAATGAGAAAGTCGTTTATGATTAGTAGATGCTCGCACATCCCTGCGATCTTACAAAGATATAGCTCAACTTACCCAATTCGATAGCCAAGCTCACAGTGGCCATGTCAATGTCAAAGGCATCTTGTCTAAACAAAAAGGTTTTTTGACCAGTTAGCATATTTAATAAATAATTCAGGCATACCGGTAACATTCCTCCAAACATTTCTCTTTCTGCATACTCACCCAGGATCGATCACGGGAAACTTCTGCCCACAAAGAATAGATTCCCAAGTCTCGTTGTCGTCAAAAGCTATAGGTTTATCCGAACAAAAATGTTTCAAAGATCGGTATTGTTCCGATGTAAATACTGTAATTTCCGTCAGAGATTTATGCTGAACGATTGAAGTTGGAATGGCCAGCTGTGTTGTAGATCCTGACGCACGACGGCTGCTTGAGGGGGATGTGGTATTCAAACCATATGGACTTAGAAATGGATGCAATCCTGCAGTTGCTGGTGAAGTTATACTAGGTTGTGGAAAGAGAAGTGTGGAATGATCAGTGTCCTTTGTTGCAAGTTCAAGAGGGAGAGGAACTTTGCGGTTGAGTAAAGAAGGCGTTTGAGTATGAGAGAGAGTAGGGCCTTTGAGAGTTGAGGTTGAGGCTGATGTAGGTGGACTTGTGACTTGGTAAGTGGCATGAGTCGGGATCTTGTATAGTTGTGGCGGACGAGCTATTGGTTTCGAGTCTCCTGTCGTTGAAGACATAGGGAATCAAGGTTGGCATGAACCAGCGTAAGTGCAATAAGTTTAATGAGTGGTGAATTTGGATAATAATGCGGTATACAATACGTGATACGCTCGGTGTCAAGATACGAAGCCGTCAAACCAAGTTGATATGTGTTATTTGGAGAATGGACTGGTCACAAAGTGCCATGTGGTACAATTAACGTTACAAGATCACCATTACTATTTATAGGATTAGACATTGGCAATCGATGTACGTATTCGTCAAAGAATTAGATTAGTGTCAATTCGATCGAAGCAAGCAATTAACTAACACGTCTATTCTTTGTCTTTGATTCTGTCAGTCAATCGTTCGCGCTCAAAAGAATTCAGCACACGACAAGTAGTTATACGGGCCAAACGGTTGATACTAATAATAACGATGGGGGACTAGCTGCAACTAGTGAACATAATAAATTGTTGAACGCCGTATAAATTAAAATGGGCAACATTAAGCATAAATAGTAGCTTATGTTAGTCTTTTATGTTAGTATTAAGTCTTATCTGAATTGCTTAGCTGTGCTTGTTATTGTTTAAATCGCCAATAGTAATAATAGCGATAGGCCTTCTGTAATAATAAACATGGAATTTAACATGAAAAGCAAAAGTTATCACTAGTACTAGAGGCTTATTTTCCAGGTAATAATTAATATAATTATGCGTTACAAAAATTGTTATATTACAAAACACCAGAACATAACTTTTAAATTTATTTAAATCGCAGGCTTGGGATAATAACAATAATTTCTTCTTAAAAGAACTGAGTATTTGTGGAGATGCGATTTTCTTTTCGAATAACAATTAGTTAGCAAACCATATTAAATGTCACGGCTGATGCTGGAATCCGGCTGAAGCTAAAACCATGACTTTTCATTGGTTGATCAGATTTTATTCTCTAATACCATTGGTTAGTTTCAGCTTCAGCTGGATTTCAACTTCAGCTCTCACATTAATTAATAATATTTTTTAAAATTTAAACATGGTTGATATTATTATTATATTCTTTAATAACTTCTATTCTATGATTTGTAATATTTGGCGAAATAACATTCCACATAGCAATAGTATGACGAGTAATAACCTCTGCTCGTACTCAAAAGTCTTGAGACTATTGATAATACTGTAATCCGCCAAGTCTTGGGTTGTTCATACCATATAAATATGTATTGATTTTAAGGAGTTCTATTATATAATTATTCCAGATTTAATCACACGGATAAAATTTGTAAATTAACTTTTTTCGACAAATTTATACAACATTCCGACTCTTGTTAATGACTAAACAAAAAAAGCCCGTTGTACTTCGAGGCGATGCAGATGCTCGCCCAGTTCTCGTCATTTCTGGGCTTAATACTATGATATTAAGAGCGCTTATTATTATCCTACAAGCTGGCTAAGCTGTTAGTCTTCAATAATATTACATTTTATATAGCTGGTTTGTGTTTATATCAGCGTTTTATATAATGTTCTTCGGTAGTCTTACTCTTAGATGCTTTTTTGCATGCGCACACATTTTAAGATTTAAATTATTGTCAGGCGCTAATAAAGAGCTACGAAACGTTTTATATTACCGCAGCACCAAATTATATGAACCCAATCGTTTCTTGAAAAACCTTCTTCACTTTAACAACGACGCTTTGGATGGATAATAATATTTGGACTTTACTTCATTACTATGTCTGATACAGTCAATTATGAGTATTAGTATTGGTATGCCCCAGCACGAATAGTTTAACACTGAGAATAATAGGAATAATAACGATAATAGTAATAGTAATAGTAGTAGTAATAGTAATAGTAGTAATAATAGTAATAGTAGTAGTAGTAGTAATACATTGTTACCGGAACCCCAAGCGCGGGCCTTGTTGACGGACCAATATACTGGTTATTTTGTGACGTCATGTTCGCTGGTTTTTTGCAAGCATCATATAAATTAATTCTTCTTTGTGCTTCTACCAGAGAGTCTAATAACGTTCGGCATTCTTTCACAAGACCTGAAGTTGTCTACCAGTTCTTTTCTTACCATTTCTGGCGCAACGTAGAGGTTATAGTTCTTGGTGACAGCCATGATGAGCGGAGGGTATATAGGTTCTAAGATCAGTTTGATATCGCGGTCAGATATACGTTATGTCGGCATCCTGCACAGCATTAACTCTACCGACTCGACGGTTGCTCTAGAGCAAGGTTACCTTGATTATTGCTGTTTCAAGCTTTATTAGTGAAGGACTCGTATTGGCAAACAAATTTAAAATAAAAAAAAATTTTTTTTTTAATAGAATTCATATATACGAGTTTTTACACTAATTTATTCAAACTTGTCATTGATCTGGTTATGTTCCGTTTTGCTTGCTGTAGTGCGCTCGTACGGAACAGAAGGGCGAAAGGGAAACCCCGCTGAGGAGATACCACCCTCCGATAATGTGTTTGATTACATAGTTTTCCGAGGTTCAGACGTAAAAGACTTGCATGTTTGTGAAGCGCCAGCACCCCCACCTTCTTTACCTCCTCAAGTTCCCAACGATCCTGCTATTCTCGGGGTAAGTTAATTGCAGTTTTTTAATTTCCTATGTAGACGAAGGACAATCCGTTCGTGTAGATGACAGTTTTAAATAATGGGGTGAAATGATGAAAGAACTACGGATGTGAATTTTTAGACTGAATGAAAAACAAATATGTTGATGTTTCCGTTGCCTTCCTTCTGAGTCATTTAAACGAAAAACCCATTACTTACTTCGATAGCGGTTTACCAGGCAAATTTGCTGAGTAATCGTACTGAGTATTTGTTCACTCTTCAATGTTTGTAGACGACTGCTCCACGACCGCCAAATTTCCAAAGCTTTGGCCCACCACCATTGAACGTACAACCACCAAATTTTCCTGGTGCTCAGATAAATCCATATTATTTGCAGCAAGCTGCAGCAGCTTTCCAACAGCAACAGTATTGGCAACAGCAGCAACAGCAACAACAGCAAACTCATCAGTCATCTCAGGTAATTATTTCATATCACCTTTCTTGTGCTTTCGCAATTAATGACGCTCTTTCGTTTGAACGCCATGTTTAAAATGTGTAAACACATTGGTTGCTTCTTATATTAAAGCTAAATGTTGGTGAAAACGCATCCCGAGAAGTCGAACAGCAGAAAACACAATTAACACAATTACAGGTTTGATGATCAATTAGGACTTGTTAATATTAACGATCCCTACTTTAAGGCTTAAATTATTACCCTCGTTTTTGCAGAAGGAACTTGCTGGACCCGATAAAGCTGAAGACCATAAACTAGAGAATCAAGTTAGTGGAAATAAAAGCATTTCCAACAAACCCGGTTCTAGCTCGCGTTCGGCGATAGGGCATGTAGCAAACACTCGCAATGACAATATGAAGGAAGCATCCGCTGCTGCCGTGGAGAAATTGGCAAAGAGTGTCAGCGAGTTGAATGTTGCGGAGACTAGTGTATCTCCTTTATCCAATACTGTCCACACGAACGATCGGCAAACGAATTTTCATGGTAGGTCAACGATAAATAACATTTACTATGTGTTCAGTTTATTCTCGAATAACATCATGATTACACGTTTCAGGTTACAGCCAAAATCGGTCAAGCAATAACAGATTACCTGGTATGGGCGGTCACCTTCTTCAGCAACCTCGACGTGGTCGTGGTCGACGGAACTATGGCCAAAATTACGATCGCAACCGTGTATCTGTCCCGACATCTGACTTCGATTTTGAATCATCAAACGCTAAATTCAATAAGGAGGAAATTGTAAAAGAAGTTGTAAAGAAATCTCACGTCGGCCATGATGTAAAAGATGGAAAGGACGTAAAGGAGGGAAAGGAGGAAGACATCACGCAAGTTGAAGACGAGGAGGAGGATGATGAAGTTGTCATACCGCCTGCCGAAACATTCTATGACAGAACTAAATCATTCTTTGATAATATTTCTTGTGAAACGAAAGAGCGATTGGAACAGCAAGGCCCTGATGGACGGTACGTGATTAAATACGCAAAGTCTTTAAATATCCAGGACCATGCGGGTAACATTTATTTTATACGTAGACGCGGGTTGTCCGTTGCCGAGCGAAGACAAAAGCAATCGGAAGAAAGGCGCTTGAATCTTGAGACGTTTGGACAAGTTTCGATTGACGGTGGAAGGTACCGTGGTGGATATCGCAGTCGTGGATATCGCGGAAGGGGAGGATATCGTGGTGGCCGCGGAGGCGGCAGCAGCGGTGGTGGCGGTGGAGGAGGATTTAGAGGAGGATACTCAAGCAATTATCGAGGAAACAATTTCAGGGTATGCCTTTTAAGAACGTGATCTATGGTTGTTTTTGTAGTCAAGCGATTTGCTTATTTTATTTACTCTATACAGCATTAATTGCCGAGATCTAATAATAATGCAAAGAGTAACTGGCGTAGTTAATACACCTTATACAAGAAAATAATTAGACAGGAAACAAAATATATCGAAGGCATTCTACTAAAAATTCTTATATTATTTTGATTTATTTTATTCACCTACTTTTTATTTGCTCACTTCCCGCGCAAATATCTTTTTATTCTCACCAACTCCAACTGGTTTTGCAATTTGTTATCATTGAAGGATTTGTAGTTTTATTAATATTGTTTTCGCATTATTGGATTTGGGATGTTTGTATTTGCCTGATCAAAGAATTTGGCGGGTTAATAATTAATTGCAGGTTTGAGATGCACGAACGAAGATAAAGGATGTTTTGGTACCGAGTTACCATATTAAGACATAGAGCAGAACCGGGGAAAAGACGAGCGGGAAGTGATTGAAGCGGAAACAATAAAACATTTGGGAGTGCCAAGACAATGTTATTTATAATTTTCGAAATCATGCCGTTTATCAAGTACATGAATTTTTTTTTTACTTTTGGGAAGTGCCAATGAAATACTTTTACAAGTCATGCCAGAAAATGCAAATTCAGGCGTACGAATAAAACGCATTTAATGCAAGCTTTATTAACTTGATAGCATCAACCCTTATTAATGGAAAAGCAACTTAATCATTTACCCGAACTATTAGCATGGGGGTTATGAGAGGATAGTCTTACTATTTTGATGAGGGCAATAAATTATAAGTTTAAATTCCCAACTATTAGATAGTCATTTAATTAGTAGAAACAAATATTCTAAAGTTATTATTATGGCTTGTTCACCTTGCTCATCAATTGTTAACTTCTTTGCAGAACTTTATCCTTTCAGATACATTCATAAATAATAAGTTTAAATGACAATTTAAATTGTCAACCAGAAGAATAACTCCTCGAACAATAAAAGGGAAGACTTTTTTGTAATGCTTTTAAAAGGATTCAAAGAGCAATATGTCTCCATCGTTTCTAACTTCTCACATTAATCCTTTCCTACTTTTAATCTGCATCGCTTAAAATTGTAAGCTTAGCGAAAATGCAAATTCAAGAAGGCATTAGTAATAATAGTAAGCTATATAATCAACAATGGTTTGGCTGATTTACTTTTTGAGACAGTAAAGAGGCAAATAAATATACGCTGCTGGGATAAACCATTCCGTAATATTGATTCTCGACCCTTGATAGAAAAAAAAAACAGTTCGAGAATTCTTAGAACGCTTGGTTTTCGGAACCAACCTCAATAAAGATAGTCTTACTACTTGCTGTAACGAGCGAGGGATCATCTCTAACTCTTGTATGATCGACGCGACGTTTTACTCCTAAAACAGATCTGTGATTGTTTACTAATAAAAGCGCTGATTTCTTCAAACTCTTACCATCAAGGATCGGTGGCAAACTGTTGTTAAGAGAAATTTCACCGATACTTACTGTAGCACTAAGCATCCATGCCAACATGATAATAAGTTCTTTAATAATATAGGATTTGGGTGATTCCAGTCCACTTGTAATCACCAAATATTTGGCGGGTTAAAAGACCGCGCAATCACGTTGTTACAGAGTTTGAGTCACGACTTACCCAAAAATGAGAAAGATCATCGAAATTATAACTTCGTTATAGCAGGTAACTAAGTTTTTCTATTTAACTTCGTTATATCCAGGAAATTTTATTAGACAAGAATTCGGGACATCGAAAAAACTTAAATTCGTTATATCCAGGTTCACTTTGTATGTACAATTTGATATCATCTTTGTTTACGAGATCATTACTGTTGATCTGCTAAAAGGGAAAACACGAACGCCAAACTCAATAATGCCAAGCGTATTGTATCGTATCGAAAAAAATTCTATAGTGAGTCGTATATATCGAACCATCCTTCAACAAACGCGGATATCACGTTCACAACGTACTTTCGCTAACATTGTTGAAAACAAAAATGATGACGCAACTTCTATCAAAGAGATAACTAATGATTTTGATGTCGTGATGCTTCCGGATTGGCTATATGAGCAGGTCTTTCCAGGTCAAACAAAGCGTCCTACAGTGCCACCAGCTCGGGAAAAAGTTGCCATGAAACATCTAGAGAAGCAAGGACTCCTCGGCAAAGCTACGGAACCCGTGCCGCATTTGGCGGAATTCCAATTGCCAAAGCTTTGTGGAAATACAATCGCAGAACATTTCTGGAAAATAGGAGAAGAGCAGGCTCGTCCAATTCGCGAGATTGCGTTGGAATTTTCCAAGATTAATTTGCCTCAGAAACCGCAAGACCATGAATGGTTGTTTAAAGCTAATTGGACGCGTTATATTTCGGGAGAGAAGCCCAAATCCGTTGCATTTCCCAATGAGGAGTTACTATGTTTCGACACCGAAGTCGCGATAAAGGATGATCCTCATCACCCTTTGCTAGCAGTTGCGGCATCACCGACCGCATGGTATTGTTGGATCTCACCGCGTTTAATCGAGCATCGGAAAATGCTCAAAAAGTTGGCAAAAACAAAACCAAAAAAAATTAAGAATGAAGTCACCGAATCCCCGAAAAAACAAAAGGCTTTGGGTTATTTGATTCCGATGGGTGAACTAGGCAAATGTCGACTGATTGTTGGACATAATGTTGGATATGATAGGGCAAGAATAAAGGAGGAATACAATACGAAAATTACGTGTAATCGCTTTTTAGATACGATGGCTCTACACATAGCTGTTAGTGGCCTCTGTACACAACAGCGGCCATCATGGATCAAGTTTGATAAGGCTACAGAGGAGTCGGACTACGAATATCTTTTAGAAGCAAAGGACTTTAAGAAGGTATATGACGTCAGCTCTATGAACAGTCTTGCCAACGTTGCCAAATTTCATAGTCAAGTTCAATTAGACAAATCACAGCGAGACTATTTTGTAACCGGCTCTTTGGACGAAATTGTTGATCCCAAGGTTCTTCCTCAATTAATTTCTTATTGTGCTAGTGATGTGGAAGCTACGCATGTTGTCTATAGGAAGGTCTTTCCACGATTCCTTGAACTATGTCCGCATCCAGTGTCCTTTGCGGGTATTATTCATATGGGTAATATGTTTTTAACTACAAGTTCTGACTGGGATATGTATATCAAGGCGGCCGAGAGTGTATATCTGGAACAGAGTTCTTCCATCAAAAAAAGTTTGATAGCGTTAGCTAATCAGGCAATTAGTCAATGGGAAAAGGATCCCGAATCGGTGCAGAAAAATCACTGGTTGAAACAGTTAGACTGGAGTCCCGCCCCGCCTAGGGCAAGAAAACTGGTGAACTACCCCAAATGGTATCGTGATTGTTATAAGAATAAAGCGAAAGAATTGAATCTTACGGCTCGATCTCGAACCGCTCCAATACTTTTGGAATTAAGTTGGATGGGATTTCCTATGTATCATTCCAAGGTATATGGTTGGATGTTTCGTGTGCCTTCAGACGACACCGAATTTTGTACGAAAGCAAAGAAGATTGTGTTTAAGACTTCGCCTGATGATGAAGAATATGAAGAAAGATATGCTACAGATACTGAAGGTCGCTACTATAAGATTCCTCATAAAGACGGAGATGATGCACGATGTGGTTCACCGCTCGCAAAACATTACATTAACGCATTTGAGAATAAGATTCTGTCATCAGGGTATCCTGAGGCGAGAGAAGCCCTCTCGATGAATGCAGCTTGTTCGTACTGGATAAGCGCAAGAGAAAGGATTAAATCTCAGATGGTAATCTACGGGAATCGCAAAGACTTTAAAGGTCTTGGGTTCAAGATGCCTAAAGGCAAAACTCCTGGAATGATTTTGCCACAAACAATAACAATGGGAACAGTTACACGTAGGGCTGTGGAAAAGACCTGGATGACAGCTAGTAATGCTAAAGAGAATCGTATTGGATCCGAGTTAAAGGCTATGATTCAGGCACCAGTTGGTTACAAATTTGTCGGTGCAGATGTTGACTCGGAAGAACTATGGATAGCTAGTCTGATTGGTGATTCGTCATTTAAATCTCACGGCGCGACTGCCATGGGATGGATGACGCTTCAAGGTACGAAGGCGGCCGGAACAGATATGCATTCGAGGACGGCTAAAATTTTGGGAATTTCGCGAAATCATGCTAAAATATTTAACTACGGAAGAATATACGGAGCAGGATTGAAATTTGCCATTCAGTTGCTGCGTCAGTTTAACGAAAATATTACGGAAGAAGAGGCGAAAAACCGCGTAGAAGATTTATATAGACAGACAAAAGGATCAAAATTATTTTCGAAAGGCAATAATATGTCGTTCTGGTACGGTGGTAGTGAAAGTTTCATGTTTAATAATCTGGAAGATATTGCCACAGACGAAAATCCAAAGACACCTGTACTAAAATGTTGTATAACAGAGGCACTAAAATCTCAGATCGTGAAGAATGACTACATGACTTCACGCGTCAATTGGGCTGTCCAGTCATCTGGAGTTGACTATCTACATTTACTCTTAGTTTCTATGGAATATCTCACCAAAAAATACAATATTGATGCACGATTTATGCTTTCGGTACACGATGAGATACGTTATCTTGTAAATGATAAAGATGCATATCGAGCAGCACTTGCACTGCAAATTAGTAATTTATGGACTCGAGTTATGTTTAGTTATATGTTGGGAATACAAGATCTGCCCCTGTCTGTTGCTTTCTTCTCCAGTATTGATATTGATCATGTATTAAGGAAGGAAGTAGATATGGACTGTAAAACTCTTTCTTTTCCGCAAGCCATTGAGAAAGGGGCGAGTGTAACTATACAAAAGATCCTTGAAGTAGAAAAAACACTCGAGGTGGAGAACTCACAGGATGGAGATATACCCGAGCTCAGTGAAGAATCCACAAAGTTGCTAGAGCCGTTACAATTGAAGAAAGATGATGTAATAAGTCTTCGCATGCAGGCAGCAACGACCGAGGAAGAAGCACGTGCAGAATTAACAAGTTCTAGGAAATCAACGCACTCGCGTACCAGAACAAGGAGGAACCATTCGAATTCAGAACGTGTAAATATTATGTTTTCTTAAATAGACGCATATGAGTTGGACATTGATAATGATTTGTTATACGGACACAGCCATACAACGTTCCTAATGAAACTGTCGAGAATTGATACAGCATAGAGAATATGTAATATTTAATAAAAAGATAAACATCCTTTCCATAGAGAACTGCTGAGAACTTGAAAGATTAAGGGTTCTAGCAGATTTGGCCACATGTAAATAAAAATTTTATATAAGAAGAGCATGTACTTCTATAGTGGAGCCAATCATCCAAAGCAGTGATGAATTCTTTTCTCATTTACAAATTAATATTTGTATTAGTGTTGAATTAATTCACCATTTGAGTTAGACGTGTGCAATTAGCATACTAATACAGCTCTTCATGTATAATCTATTATTGATTTAAATTCTAACTTTCAACAAAGGGTCATTAATTTTAGGAAACAGTGGTTTAGAATATAGTAATAGGAAAGGACTATTTTACTGGACACCCATGCTATGTCACATTGTTAACTGTAAGTGAAAATTGGTAGATGCTGTTTATACTATCTGTTAGCACACGCGAGTTTTTGTTTGCATACATTTTAGTCAATTGTCCAATCGCATCGCACGTAGAATTTAGTCGAATGTCAAATTATCTGAGACATTGTAACAAATTCCAAATATTATATAACTAATATTAATGGTTTTGGGTAGATTAATATTAACTGTTTGCAATTTTAATCACTACTACGAGTGATAATTAGATATACTGTAGACACTGAGCCTTTGGATATTTACAGGTGTCAGCGGTTAAATTGTTCCCAGACTCGAGAATTAATATAGAATATCCCGAACTGAACTGCAAATTAAGAGTTTGATATACTTACTGCATACAGCTGTAATTGAAGGGACATGCAGCCCCGGTAGAGTCACATGTCTAGTGTTCCTTAGAATTGATGTGTATAATAGATACGGAAGTTTTGCTTATCAGAAAATTAGTATTAGTATTAGATTTTCAAACATTGTCATTTCCCTAATATGGTTTAACATTGCAGACACTGTTTTGTTTTTCGATCGCGTAATTTTAGCTTATTTCACATTTTAGAGAAATAGATATACACAACTTTGTGAAATCCAAATTACAAACTAAAATAAAAAAGCCCGAGCTTTCTCAATTTGCCACGTGATCTTCTGACTTGATTCTTCCCTAGTCAAAATTCAATAACATGCCACGTGATAAATAGGAGCTGTTTTTATTCGGTCATTTCTGCCTACATACAGAAAATAGTCTATTTGTAGAACAATACATCGTAATAAGCGTAGCATATATAATGACCGAATTTTGCATAGTTTATTCATCATCTTCCTCCTCATTAGCTAATGAATAAAGCGATATTTGGTTAGAGAGTAGAGTTACCAAAATTAACGTATTTTAACAAGAGCACTCACCATTCTTAGAAGCACTTTTTTGACGCTTTCTCTTAACGCGTCCCGGGCGTCCACCACCTGTGAAACAAAGAATACTCAGCAATTCATCGATAAACGTTAACCACGTTGATATAAAGATTATTAAATACCGTATGGTGATGTCTGAGAGAAGTCAATGTGCTTCTGGGAATCGAGACTGCACGTGATAATTAAGTGTTATATATATTTGTTCAATAAACAAAAAAATCGCTCAAGTCACAACCGCTAAACCGTTCACTTACCGAACAGTGAAGCTGGGAATGTTGACAATTCGCTTTCCAACGCTGATCGAAATAAACCAATTTCCAATTAATTATTTGCATATCTCGCGTGATCTACTCTCGTAAAATAAACTTACCAAATATGCCTCTGCCTAATCAAAACTCTGGCATGATGAATGCTCCTCGCCAATCCCAATTTAAACACTTGTGTCTGTAACCGTCTCTCCAAAAAGTCTTCAATCTTCAACGCAAGTACGTAATCCAGCTTCAACTTTGTCTCGTCCAATACCCCAATTCTAACCAAACGCCTAATCAACGCATTACCCTCAAACAATCGTCGAGGATCTTTGTCGTCAAGGGTTAGAAGTTCACGTGCGGCACGACGAATGTTGGATAGCGTATAGGCGACCCGCCAGATTTCACGTTTGTTTCGGAGCCCGTACTCCCCAATTAGTTTAAGTTCCTGATCAAGCCGCTCCCTTTCGAACGGACGTCGGGGAACTTTGTATGTTTTCGAACCTAATTACCATGAAAAAGAAAAAGAATAGGCGAGAGGTAAAGCTAGAGCCGCTGTTTGCGGTTTATGCTTTCCATTTGGTGCCCAGCAAATGCACCCAGTAATCCACAATTGTCTCCATAATGGATGTGAGTAGTGGATTAGGACTCTTGATTCGTTCGTGTCCAGAGAGATTGCTGCATACTCTCTTCTTTTGGAACTTTCCAATGAGACTGTTGATGGAATTCACGGCGAAGAATACTACCATAACAGGAAAAGGATACATCGTATATAGTTGATCAATTGCTTTTACGCTGACCAACATATCCCATGAAATGTATGGACAAAAATTCTTCGATCACAAACAGTTGTGGATGTTGCTGTCCTCGTCGTAAATTCCTTCAACAGTCTATAAAACAACTCTTTTAACTCCACCAAAACCCCCACCCTCACTCCTACAACACAGGAAAGTTATCCAACAAGAATACAATTCCTCACTACACAAGGCATTGTCTTTTTTCTGACGGGTGCTGTTTATTCGTCCAGCAAAAAGAGGAAGAAAGTTTTACTTGACACGAATCTGGGAAGAGAAAATTTTTTCGATGACACGTGCATCCAACCAATAATGTCGACAGAATGTTGAAAAAGTATTTGAGAGAAAAAAATATGAGAAACGAATACCTCCTCTTTCTCGTTTGGTGAGTCGTAGCTTTCCGTCAATATTATTTTTTAGCGTGAAAATTTGTAATCACCATTCAATGGTGGATACTGTTGCTCCATTACCCGTATAATGCAGCCCATTCAACTGCTATTTTCTATAATGTTCATCAAACCCGACTCCATTCTCTAGGTAAAACCCGAGACATGCCACACTCATTCGGTCTCCGCGCGCGCACGCGCCACATGTTCTCTCGGAATTTCCGTGAGCGTGGGCCGATAAAGCTTTCCACATATCTCAAAACCTACAAAGTCGGCGATATCGTTGACATCAAAGCCAACGGTGCCGTACAAAAAGGCATGCCTCACAAATTCTATCATGGCCGTACCGGTATCGTCTACAACGTCACCAAATCGGCTGTTGGTGTGATTGTCCATAAGATAGTCGGGAACAGATATCTTGAGAAGAGGGTTAACGTGAGGATCGAACACGTTAAGCACTCAAAGTGTAGAGATGACTTTTTGAGAAGAGTAAAGGAGAATGCAATAAAAAAAAAGGAAGCCAGAGCGAAAAATGGTTAGTTGAAAAGGGAGGAATTATGGATTATTGCGTGAGGGACATGATTGGGTTTTGCCCGATCCTTTTATAGGTGATCGTGATCTGGTTTATATTATATGGTCAAGCCATTGATGTTAATCGATCTTTCTTTTAACAAAATCACAGAAAAAGTAAATCTCAAAAGACAACCGGCGAAGCCTCGTGAGGCACATTTTGTCTCTACGAAAAAGAATATCCCCATTACAGTCACACCAATTCCGCATGATACTGTCTTTTAATTATTCTATACGAATCGGCGTGTATTGCTGGTTATATAAAATGCATTAATTATGTGACTCATGATGGAATTTATTGTCAGAGTACATTGAGCGTAAGAGAGGTTATTGTCTGCAAACAACGAGGATTACGTGGCATTTATTGATTGAAAATACATATGCGCTAAGGATTAAATAATTACAAAAAAGCCATGTTCTATATTGTTAGCGCCACTTCCAGATATATTATCTTGAATCTATTTGAGTACCGAGTATGTACATCTCCATAGTTGGGTGGCATTGCATTTGTTCTAGATGATAGCCGAGCTTGTCCATTACTGTTAATATGCTTGCGATGCTAAAGTTTCCCAGCCTGATAACTCCGACGGATTGCACAATCAACTCGCTTTGACACAAGCTAGCTCTCACTTCGAATTGAGCTTTGTCAGTGAAAGCATGATCGCCAGGCAACATGTTGCGCCTTAACCAGTCTTTAAGCTCTCGAAGTAGTTCATCGGGACCGTCAATGCTTAGGATATCGTCTTGTCTTGCAGTAAAACGGTTCAAACGAATGATGGCATACTGTTTTTGGCTTTTCTGCGTCGAAACTGCCTTTGGAAGAATGTTTTGACGGTTCTCTATAGTTATATAGAAGATGTAGATGACAGATCATAAGGTTTACAACGAATACCAAGTAGTCTAAATACAATTCATATCGTACCTGGCTCAGGAGTTGTTACTTTAAGTCCAAGACTTTGTTCAATATTACTAGCCACCTTATCAACATCGTCTCCAAAGTTTTGTAATGTTGTCCTTAAATACATTATTCCATTCTCAAATACGGTCGTCGGATCTCTTCCTTCTACACTCTCTACAATTTCAAAAATAATCTTCTTTTCGTACGTCGCCCCAATTAGCTCGTCTCCAAGTTCAGCATTTCTTGCGGTTGCGGAATCGATGGATGATGCGGCACTAGCAAAGTAACGCATTACATTGCGTACCATCTCAGAACCCTTGTATTTTTCTTTTTGCTTAGCATTGACTTCCTGCCAATTGACGATTAATTCGTATTGATCAAGTAATGTATCTTCAAATTTCTTGGCTAAAGTCTTGTATTCTTTCTCGAACAAGTCACGGACTGCAACGCGGACACCCAACGGTCTATAAACATGAATAATATATTATAGATTCCAATCTATCATTTCAACAGTAGATATCAATGTTGAAGGTAATAACTTACAGGTTAGCCATTGTTAAAGCTAAAATAAAGTAGTAGAAGAAAGTTGGAGGCGAACGTTTTAACCATCGTATTACGCGAATACTACCAAAGCACAAATTCGCTCAGTATTAAGTGCTACAGAATGATACTATTTAATTGGTCGACTATTATCAGTGTTACTACTGTGTCCATAAACGCTTGATGGTCACGTTATCCAACGTTTATTACTACGAGCCGAGGCATGAGAACGTCAAGCTGTAATAATTCGCATAAAGGCTGATGAGACAACAACTTTTCTGTTTGAATAACAAGATTGCAAGCTACGCGTAGAGTTTAAATTAATGACATTGTGGTTTTGCACTTTAACTTGTGAATTTAAATATAAATGCCTAATTATCCAAACATTGATATTGTCTAGTACTAGTGACTGCAACCTCGTATGAAGTTGGTTCCATGCATTAGTTGCAAAGATCGGGTTGCTTTCCGATAATAAAGAAATTGGTGAGCACAGTCTTTTGATTGTATTTTCAAAATCCAAATTAAATCCGAAATAACCGGACTAATATGACGCACGGTTTATACGAAAAACTGTCCGAGACTGCAGAATTATGCAGACATGTGTAAACCGTACGTTAATCGAATCTTGGCAGTTACTTTATGTAGTTCCTTAATTTTGTTAAATCGCCAAGAATTGTAGTACTAATATTAATGATGTGCTATATTTGTATATTCGTTACTTAACACAACAGATAGGAAAAAAATTTAATCATTGATTATTCAATAACAATACCGGATAACATGCCTCCTAAAAAGTTTACTTTATTAGAATTTTCCGGTGAATACTTTTCGAGAAGGCTAAATCACTAAATGATAGAAATGCCAAAAATACCTTTAGCGGTTATCCGAGGTAAAGACGCACATTTCTCGAAAAGGATGGATGTTGATTTATTTTCTAAATAAAGAAATGATCGAATATCTACTCTCTTAATAGGCACACGTGAGCAATTTACGTTTATTTCACCCAACTATTAGACGAGTCGTACGATGATAAGGAATGCTAATACGATAACATAACGTTAGGATTGTACTTTGACCATTTAATCTCATAAAGCTTCTTAGATTTGATAACCTTTCAAAATAGCTGATTAAATCGGTTATAATCATACATTTTGCTACAAGTTTAGGAAATACCAATTTTTGTAGCGATACAACCATTGACGAGTTGGCGACTTCTTGGCAGCATAAATAGGAAGTTAATTCATATTGGATTCATGCAAACATTAGGAGAATGAAAAGTAACATAAACAGAATTGAGAAAACCACCCGTTGCCTCTACCTCTAATAAATGAACCAACAACCAAGAATCTTGGGGCTGCTTCTAATAAATGAACTAAACAACCAAAAGCTTGGGAGTTTGTGTGATCGCTTGGAAGTCTTCTATTATTCACAAGCGCCTTTTCTAGTCAAGAAAACATTAAGTATTACTTTTCATGCATTTTCTTCTCTTTTCAAATAAACAATCGTCGATAAGCCGGGGTCCCGCAAAAGATACGGGATTCTTGGCATGACTGATAATCGACATGATCTAAACATCGATCGTGTTTGTGTTCTAGAAACAGGTTAATTGTTTGGAATTATGGAAAAAAAGAGGCTATAAACATTTACAAAAGAATGGTATGCGATGGCATCATTGTTGCATAATATATCGCTAATGACATGGAATAGATTGTAGAAAAAATAGGTAAACTTTTACGTGAAGCAAGTCTAGAATTAGAAATATAGCATGTTGCGACAGGTGTCGTATGTGGCAAATGTAAAAAGGTCGACATTCCAAGATGGTTTGTTACAATTACTTATGATTAGTTACCCGTCGTTCTTGTTCATTTGCAAGTCGCCCCCTGGTACGGAAATTCTGCAACATTCGTAATGCTTTCCATATTCGACAAAGACGGAAGAAACCTCGTGGTTGTGATAGGATTAGTTTTTTGTCATGCGAAGTGGTTGTTTGAAACGCCAATAGGTTTTAAGCGTTTGAAAACCCCCTCCTCTCCCACACCGCATGGTTACTTGTAAATTCGAAATGTGCGTATCCCACTGGACATATTTGACATGTGCAGATTCATCTTGCGTAAGCACAGTAAACATGTAAACAATTATTAATATCATTTACAACGTATTTTTTTACACTCGTGACGATGATATTTCGACGATTAGGGATGTAGAATTGAGGCTACGCAGTCAACGTAATCAAACCTTTCTCCAAGCAACTTCCATACATAGAAGGTCTATTCTTAGATGACCTGCATGCAAAAGGTACAAATATTATTCGATTGTAGTACCTTGCACACAACGATCTAAGGAAACACGAAGATACCATAAATTCAAATTAAAAATTAAAAATAGCGTGCAGCATACAATTACTGCGCATCAATTTTAGCAGCAAAAACTACCTTCTTTTTGTTCTCCTCTCAAGCAACAGTTCCCCATTTCTTCTCCATTCGAATCTTTTTTCTTTCTTTCTGTCGTTCTTTCTTTTTTTTTACAATTGGAACCGTCTATCGAATTGTGTTCGTTTCTATCTCCATCTGAGTAGCACATAACTACTGTTTTACACCGTTATGCGGACCATGGTTTGTGGTAGGTACATGATTTCCAATCATGCCATTTATATCCATCCCAGTCGTTGTTTGGCTGTTTGGTCAGTCTGCAGAAACAATGCATGATCAACGTTGTTCTTTCTGTTCTTGTCTTTGTTCCAGTGAAAAGAAAGGAAAAAGAAAATATAAAGTATGCCGCACGAGAACGGATGTGTGCATCAATTGCTTTTAGGTCGGTCAGTCCATGTTTTGTAGTATCAATTCTAAATTTGATCAGACAAGATATTTAATACGTTTATTTAGATCGTTACATTTCTGTTATCTCTATTTGTTATTCCGAGATGTTGTGAAACTTGGCATCCCCGATAGGATGTCCGCACATGTCATTGGTAGATTACCTATTTTATTAGCTTGTCAATTAACTAATCGAATGAATTTATTGACTATTGGTTTTTTGAATCCGCTATTCTTAAAATGTCTAGCGTCTTTCTCCTCATTACATAACTTGGGGGGAAAAAAGTGTTTATTTTGCAGCAGAAAACGTTTTTCCCGCAACTCTCATACGTACATACGTCCTTCCATTCTAATCGTCCGAATCAATGCCTGCAGAAAGCTAAGCACGGTATTAAAAATAGGTGCACTATCATCAGTCAAGCGACTAATCGCAGTGGATATGTTTCAGACTTAATCCACTGTATACATCCACAGAGTGTTTGATTTAGTATCCTCGCATCACCAGAGCACTATACGTATTTCGCTAGGCCGTACAGTCAACGTAGTTTGGTAAGCCAATCAGCAAAGATCGACTCTGTCAATGCATTATTCGAAATACCAACAGGTTCTCGAACGAAATGTAAACAATCAATCTGACCACATTGTTTCGAATTTTCAATGAAACCATTCTCTCAAAGACGTCGGGTCTTACGTTACTAATAAAACAGAGGTGTGACTTCAGCATCGACAAGCCTGCGCAGAAGAGAAAGAATCACAATTGAAGCTCTGGATTTCCCTAATTGGGATAACCAGGTGCAAAGAAAAACAAGCATTGAGACACAAAAAGAAAAGCGAGCGATTAAAAACGTTCCTACAATCCGGAAGAGGCTAGGTTGGGTTCTCTTTTGTGCGAAACAGCATCTGAATTAACATCTTAGCCGACATATGACGTTATCGGTATTAGAACATTCTTTTGCTCGAGGAATATTAATGTAGCACTCACGGTAAACTGTGTTGCAGGCTTCAGCTTTTGTGAAATAAATATGTTCACTCGGTCTAATGGGCCAGTGATAAGAGACGGGTGATAAGATTGTTGTTTCCGTAAGAAAGAAAGATCATCCAGAACAAAGAATTCAATTTGGCATAAACTGTACTTGGTACTATTCAATGAGACTATTCCAGACGAATTAGGAATATTTTAAGCTTTAATGCATATTTGCAAAACATCAAAGGTCAATTCCAAAAAACGAAATCCACAATTCCATATTGAACCATTTCGATGCCTCATATGGTAAAGGCGTAGGGTAGTGCAACGGCGCATCGAATTGACGCCGCCCGAAGAAATTTTTAAGGCAAATAAGCTTGTCCAAATTATAAATAATAAACAATAAACTTGTTTCATGTTAACATATTTTAAAATACACATCTTGTTAACAACTCATATGCGCGTTTTAAATGTACATGTTTAAAACGATTTCTGCAGCTCATGTATTCCAGGTTGCTTCACCAATACATACGTCGATAACGTCTGTTACATTGTTCGAATATAACACAAGCCGATAAGCTGCAACAGAAGAAACCTCTACAGCCTGGGTTGTTGGATCGCATTGAATTGTCTTCGTCTACAATCCAACATGTGAACAATCCTTTTACTAATGAGTAAATGATCTTCAAAACATTCTTGCTGCAGTTTATGGTGTATACAAAAAGAAGGGTTTAACTATTACCGGAATGAGGAATATGCATATAATGTAAAAAAATAATACGGGTTTATTGCGCAAATAAACAAATAAAAGAAAATCATCAAAATTATGTAGTTTATTGAGTGCACAACACTCTTCCATGTTTCTATTTTATCTTCTGTTACGAAAATCGGCAATTTACGGCCAAGCCAAGTTTATCCGATGATAAATAAATTACTGCTACTCTTTTTGTTTTCTCAGCCCTTTGGCTTCTGGTCGTCAAATATCAAATTAAAACAGATCGCACCATCGTGCCTGTCCTTTCTACTTGGTCTCTGTCAGATACAACACCTGAATTACAAAGTCTCATCCACAAAATGCCGTAACCGCCTGGAAGATTATCTTACTTTGTCCAATAATCGTAATCGGGCAACTAAGTGTCACACTGTAACAAACTCTTCTCCTTCCATTAATAATCTTATTTCTTTTATTATTATTCTTTCTTTATGTCTGCTATTTTATCTGCAGCACACACTTGAAAACCATTAATCATTTTCAATTACTCATTTAGTGCTACTTCTACGTCGACGTCACCTTATGGAAGCCGACCATAATAATAACACAAATCCTGCCCTTCTCCTGCAACACTTTCCGTCCATCATGAGCGGATATATATATAAAGAGTCGATTTGGGAATTGTTGTCTGTATCAACATTTCTTTCTGAATTTTGAGAAATTTACAAATACATAACATATATCTGACATTTTTGAACATTAAGAGCATACAGAATAATAATAAATAATAATAAACAACTTAATTATATCGATAATTAATCTAAGAAGGCGACTTTACTGTCTTAATACGCTGCATCCAAATCACTAAGATACTCGAGTCCTAATATTAATATTAATTCGAGAAGTCAATGACTTCCCAATCGGCATCTTCACAGCAATCTTCTCCCTCCAGCGTCACTTTCGACTGCAAATGGAGCCGGTGTTCGCTCGCCTATGGTTCTCTCGATGACCTTATAGTCCATATCCACGAAGGTATTATTGATATTGTCATTAGGTTATATAATCTATTGTATACTGTACATACATCGAATGATGTGCATATTAGTACAGGTGTGACCAATTTCACCTACCATGTAAGGTTACTAAGTCTGAGTTGGGTTTATTTTTTTCTAGTACACGTTGGCAAGAAAAAGTCGAAATATATCTGCGAGTGGGCAAACTGTCCAAGAATCGGACAGAACCAAAAGTCTCGGTTTGCTCTTGTTACTCATTTGAGAAGCCATACGGGCGAGAAGCCATTTGCTTGTGATTTCGAAGGTAGGCGTGTGAATGCTGTAGGCATTGTTACGACCAAATTTAGGCGTTTGAAATAGTTTGGAAGTGGAAACAAAAAAAAACACACACAAAAACGAGCAATGAGGAACAGGGAAATTGAGGGAGAAGAAAGGATCAGACAAAGAAGTAGGGAGAAGGAAAGTGATCCGCTGTCTCAGATCGTCTTTTATATATACAAAATTGTCTTTTTCTCACTTGCATGCAGGTTGCGAAAAAACTTTTACACGGCCAGATTCACTAAGAAAGGTAAAATACCATCCTTTCTATTTGCTACACGACGAGACATTCTCCGTATTGATCCTTTTTACCTTTCCCCCAAAAAAAGCACATACGATCGCAGCACGGAAACAATCAATCTCAAATGGCCGAATCACCCAGACATACTATATCATCCAAGAAACGCAAGCCTCGCTCACCCTCTTCTTCACTGTCTGAAGAATCTTCACATTCCTCTCGAGCATACCGTAACTCGACACACGCTCAAACTCACATAAATCGCAGCAATCCGTCCTCTCGTCTGCCTACACTACCTAATCACAGCGATAATGTATACAATCCCCATCGTACTTATACTTCCTCATCGAACACAACATCACCGAACGAGAGTGAAGACGAAAGCGATACACAAGGGACAACATACTATGAGAAATATTTACTATTGAAGGCGAAGAGCAAGTATATTAGACGGGAGAATGAAATACTTGTGGACGAGTATCAAAACGTAAAAGTTAGATTGAAGAGACTGAAAACGGAAAAGGACATTTTGTTGGATGCCGTTATTGCTGCTTCAGGAGATGAATAGAAATCAAAAGAACAAAATAGATATAGGAGGAGTTATTTGGATAGCAACGTTTGAAGATAATTGATGCAGTTCGAACATGGGCGAGGAGAGTATGAAGAATACATAAGGCTGTGTTTCCAACTAATATAATTTTATTTTCTTTTTACTTTTTCTTTTTCTTTTTCTTTTTTTTTTTTGAGTTTGCTTTGCTCCTCTTTTACCTCGACGGGGGCTTGATTGATGATGGTTTTTGTCTTTTAATAAGCCAGGAATGTAAACTCTGATATGGATTTTTATGACTCCTCCTCAATGTACATAAACAAGTTATATTTCATTAACTGATGTATGCGTAATGTAATTAAAATTAGTGATAAGCGTATAATGGATTCGCGCGATTCCGATTGTATTATATAAGAAATTGTTCAATTCTCAACAGAATAAAGCTGAAGATTAATTTGATCTATCAACGATACCAAAATTTCCGATACTGGCAAAGGTAATGTATTAGTATTCTGAAGCTTATGCGTATTGTTTAAAAGTTGGTACAGACACCAATCTTCTGTCTAAAGACTTTCATACAAAGCGTAAGCTTACAGCTTTTTTTCTTTTGACAATGCCACACATTGGGATGCAATTGAATAATAGAATGGAATGGGCAAAAAAGCTCTTCCTAATGTGTTCCGATAACTTATCCGAATTAGATGAACAGGAGAGCAATCATTTTTCGTCATCACCCTCTTTATCGTCAAAGGAAGCTCGTTTTCGATCGAACTTTTGTTGCAATATAATAATAGTAAGTGTTATTTATTTCACTGTACAAAGATAATCGTATATTAAGATTGGATAATATTATGATATCTTGCTCCAAGAACTTTCTCAAATATCAGCTCGTTGGGCACATTAACCTAGAAGAATTACGAACCGTATCACTTATAAATACTACCGATTTTCCTCATATTCAAACCCCTTCCTGATAGCAATATCATCAACAAAATAAGAGACCATCGTCTCGTTCCTCTTCATATTGGCCCCCTTTGCACAAACACACATGCAAAACGCTCAATACACAATACAAGGCCATCCTTTCGTATATAATGATATACGTCCACATTCATACGGCATCACTCAGAGTCTCCACTTTCTCTCATCGTGGTTCAGGAAACACAACACCATGGAAGGTTTTACCACATTTCGTACAAACTGTTTTTTTCTTTGAGTAGCCACAGAAACGCGGTAAGCCTAAACAGAAAGCCCAAAACAAGGTACCACTCGTGCTGAGCCCAGTGTTTGTAATTATGTGGTCAACGAAAGGTAGATGTTATGATAGTTTCAAATGGATGCAGGCACGTATGTAACTCTAGATGACTTACTAGTGAGACCTCAATTCGTGGAATCCTCCTTTATCGCACCAGCCAAGGTGTGTTGCTATCCGATGTTGCTCGTTTATAGCAGGGTCTATTGAGAGGGAACAGGAACAACAACTATTAGCATCGAGTTCATGTCATATTCCTTCAGAAGAGTGTAAAGAGCGTACCTCCGTGTGGTTTGTACGAGTTCTCAGTCCCTGGATATCTCGACATTTGAAAGCAATACTGTATATGCCACTTGTAACGAAAAAGTAGTTGGGAGATGTTCGATATTGCACTTTCAGTTACACCTATTCTTATTCTTGTGATGTCTGCTGATTTTCGGCTTGTGGCTCAATACTGTACTGTGATGTCATTATATGTTAAACTGACTTTTTCACACTAACCCTAATACAACTAATAACCCTTGGAATTATAAATATACTCACGAGCAACACTCGGACCAAAAACTCTTCTTTATCCAAAAAATATCTAAAATAACACAATTGTACAATGGAAAATCTTTATTGTGACGAAAGTGGGGAAGTCAAAGAGATTCATGATGAGACCGTGATCGCGACCGTCGTTAAAACATCCAAAGAAGGAACTGTCAATAAGACTCAGGAACAGACGCAGCAAACATTAAGCGAAGATGAAAAACGGAAGAAAGTCGAAGAAAAGTCATTCGATGGTTGGTTTTATTAAACGTATCTTTTTGATTGCATTTATTACAGAGATTAAATAATTCTTATTATTATTCAGCCGAGTCTGCGAAAAAGTTGGAAACATGTAAAGAAATCGCGAGTGGTTATTGTGAATGAGATGTTTTCATCTTAACTGGCGTCGAAAGTATTAGGATGTTATATTGTATGCTAAATGAAGAAGAATCGAATATTAACACATAAACACACAGAGTTGCCAATATAGTAACAATAAGAACAAGCGCACATGAGGATTAACATTTTACGATCTACGTTTAGGACATTGCATGATTGTCAAAGTTCTCTAGCAGGTAGATTTAATTCAAAAGCTATAATTATTATACGTGATCTCTATGATATTGTCGATAAGCATTATTGTCTATTATGAAATCAAATTTATTGGTTTCCGTTCAAGTTCTCAAGAGAACATTCACGCCGAATTAGACTAGAGATTGGGATACTGTCCTTCTCTGTCAAACTCATAAATATATTGGCATTCAGAGATGCTAGGGTTCTTTCCGTTTTCTGTAATTGTATCATTATTTCATAAGAAATTTCTTACTAGCTTTAACGCACTCCTCGAGCTCTGTCTGATAGACTGTTGACATACCATTAAAATTGAATGGATCTGCATTTGTTTACTTGGCATCTTCACATGTCTTCTAATAGAAATAGGTATGAAGATGTTGCACCACGTGAACTTCTGGTTTTAATAACTCTTGAACAAGTTTGATTATGCTCAAACGGTCATACCGGTTTTAAACGTTGATAATTCTATTAAGATCATTATGCCTATTACTATCAGATCTTACAATATAGCTTTTTTTTCCTGGGCATGTTTAATAATTTTATGTAATTATATTTGATTTGAACCACTCCCAGTTAATACAATATTACAGAATAGGCAAATAGACAAGATAGATCAGTAAGACTTTACAACTAGATTCTTGAATCTCTTTTAGATTCGTAAACCGCGTATGGTAATAGGACATATGCATGTCAACTTTTATTGCTGTCCTAATGTATGAATATTATCAAGTCTGTAATTTGTCATCATTATACTCTGAAACATGAGTTCATGATTCATATATGCTTTGGGCTTTTCTAAAATTCCATTGTCCGTATACTAATACACAGTGTAAGTTATAAAGCCAATTGAGTGCTTTTTATCATTAGATGTTGGCAATCATTATAACTATAAAGTTATGTCCGATGAAATAGGTTACAATGTGAAAACATATGAAAAATATGTATAACATATATCAGACACGGACATGTCTTTTTTAAAATTAGAACTTTATTAGACACGAGACCTGTCCCTTGGAGTGATTTTCATAGTAAAATTACACAAACCCAATTGTTTGTTTTGACGTTGACATGCTTTGCCCCTTGGTAGTTACATAGAGAATTAATCAATGATTTATCCGCATTCCCTTTATCGACACAACACGTTCCGGGAAACATTCATCTGCACAAATGACTTACAGTAGGATGCAAAAGTTCCCCCCACTTCTAATTCGAGACACGAATGAGTAAACGCTTTGAAAGTTTCCCTCTATATCAATAGTGTATAATAAACCCTGATCACTTGTAAAATTTC